GTTCCCAGCTCCTAGACCTCAACAACTGGATTGCAGAGTAGTTGGGTTGTTGATTCTACCTCTAAAATGTCTTTGACCTCTACCCCACTAATTCAGGTCTTCATTATATTTCACCTGAACTATTTAGTCAAGGAAGGAGCCTCATGGAAAAACTTCATGAATTAAAAATTTCCTTCAAATTCAAAGCCAAATAACTGTGCATATGTACACATATGTTATATATATATGTATATATATTTGTATATGTGTGTACGTGTGTACACACACATACATACACATATCCTACCTCTGATATACACTGGCTGTGTGGCCTTGGGCAAGTGACTGCCTAACCCCTCAGTGCTCTAGGCTAGAAAACTCTGTAAGATTTTACATTTCGTAGAAAGTGCCAAACTGTATTGATAAAGAGAGGCTTCTTTAGCCAGGATTTACCTATATTAATGAAATCACAAGTCCAGTCACTATCCCTAACTTTCTATATCTACTAGTAGATGTATACTTCTATATACATACATATGTGTTTGTGTTATTTTAACAGACTAGAGTAATTTACAAAGATGTGGGTTCAAAGTTTTGCCTATGATACACTAGCTAGTATGACATGAGCAAGTCACCTAATTATTAATTATTAATACCCCAGGCAATGTTCTAAGACTTTCAGTTCCAGATCTTTTAGTGAAGGTTGTGCCTCACACCAATAAAATCATGGGTCTGGAACAGAAAAAAATAAAAAACAAAAGCAAAATGCATTTATTTATAATTATTTTCAAGTTTAAAGTCCATGAAACAAAAAGATAATAAATGTTTAAAATAATCTTCAATAAACCAGTTCAAATTACCATCACATCATAGATATGTTGATTCTTTTATATAGCTTCTAAAATTGAATATTTTATCAACTAAATTGATGTTAAAAGACTCTCACTTCCACGATGCTAGGTCTGTCTCTATTCTACCTTAGTCTTGTCCTTTATTTTTTACAGATTAATAATGAGGTTAGTGCTACTAGGATATCAGGGAGGTGATGGGACAGTTGATGCTTGTCTCATGACCCTAAAATTTAAGTGAAATAAAATAAGCAAAGGAATATATAAGATGAGAAGGTAAACTAGAAATTATTGACTGTGTGACCTCGGGCAAGTCATTTCACTTCCTCTGCACCAGTTTCCTCATTTGTAGAATCAGGAAGTTGGGTAGATGATCCTAAGACTCCTTCCAATGTGAATATTCTATGGTCTATGACCTGACTTATGGATAGAGTGCTAGTTTCATTCTTCAGCATCTTTCTTTGAGCATTCTCTTTCTCCAGCAGGGGGCAGGGGTGGGAAGGGGAGAGATGCTTTCAGTCACAAGTCAGCCCAGAAAGGTTGCATAGAAGTAAAAATGAATTTTGAGAAAATTCTAAAGGAGAGAGTGTTGACTTGGTATTTTCTACAGTGCTGTTTTAAAAAATCTATTCAATATTTAAATTTTCAGTTCTGAATTCTTTCCCTCCCATCTCTGCCTTTGAAAAAGCAAGACATAGAGTTGTGAATATGATCACATAAAACAAATAGCCACATTGGTCATACCCCCCAAACCAAAACAAAACAAAACAAAGCAACTTCACTCTGCATTCTGAGTCCATCAGTTCTCTAACTGAAAGTGGATAGCACTTTCCATCATGAGTCCTTTGCAATTGTGGTTGGTAATTGTGTTAATTAGTTACTAAGTCTTTCAAATTTGTTCATCTTCACAACATTATTGTTATCATATAAATGGTTCTCCTGGTTCTACTCACTTAACTTCACATTGGTTCATACCAGTGTTCCAAGGCTTTTCTGAAACCAATTTATTCATTGTTTCTTGCAGCACAATATTATTCCATCACCTTCAGATACCATAAATTATTTTTATCTTTTTACTTTTATTTTTAGTTCCAAATTTCCTCCTTCTCTCCCCCCCCCCCATATTGAGAAAGCAGGAAAAAACAAAACCCATTATAACATGCGTAGTCATGCAAAACAAATTAGTACCTTAGCTGAGTGGAAGAAGGGAAGGAAGGAGAGAGGGAGAGAGAGGGAAAGAAAGTAAAGGAGAGAGAGAAAGACAGGGAGAGAGAGAGAGAAAGGGAAGGAGAGAGAGAGAAGAGAGGGAAGAAGGAAGGAAGGAAGGAAGGAAGGAAGGAAGGAAGGAAGGAAGGAAG